TAACTGTAAAAATAGAAGTCATCAAACCACAAATATATCATTTTCACGTTTTCCGCTATATTTGTGATCTGCTTGTTTGCTTCTTATTGCAATGACATTCACTTTCAGGCTTTATTTTATTTACAATAACATTTCAGCAGCTTCCATTCTCACGACAATAACCGATATAGGAAGCAACGTGTTTTTGATTTATCAATTCGTACTCCTTGCATATTGTGATTTCGATGTTAAGTGATTTGGTTTTGGTCATGGAACACAGAGTAAGATTTATATTATGTGCGGCCCGCGGCCACTCGGTCTTAACCAGCACTAAACGAAATACTCTGTTTCTTAAATCGCTCTCCTTTGACTGAAAAAAAAACAAAACAAAAAAAACATGGCTTCATTTAGCTGCAAAGATGGGGGTGCTTCAGCCAATCTATACAGTACATTCTATTGTTCGGATAATATTTCTGTCTACTTGACAGCTGGGGTGGGGGAGAGCGATTTTGCCACTTACTTGGGCGGCAGACACTTGATCGTGTGGTCGTTCAGATCAGCACAGTAACAAGAAACAAACCGCAGTAAGAACACACAACAGTAGATGCCACAGAATCTCACACACGATGCAAACCCAAAGAAGTAATAGCGCTCTTAAACTTACAGTTGCTTCGTGCTAAGAGATTTCAGTTTTTTATTGTTTATGAGCATCGACACCTCTGCAGGAGCATCATCACGGGGGGGTAAATTTTAAGGAAACGCCATCTTTTTTTCTTTTCATTTCAGAACAATGCCGTTTAGTACAGACTGTTATGACAAAACGAAATGGCCCATTTTTTATGGCATTTTTTAGCGATTGCGACTAATAAGTCATTTTTTGTCTTTTTCGCTGTTTAAATGAATTTTAATATAATTCCAATAGAACTTGCTTCACACAATATTTACGAGGTGCATCAAATGTTCACTACAGATTTCCTGAGAAACTTATTCGATTTCTTCACTCATATATTGTAATGTCAGCCGCAGTCAGTACTATGTAATCTAAGGTTCCTGTCACGCCTATCGGCGCCATTGTCAGTACGACCGAATGGCCGATACAAGAAGGTAGAGATTTTTTTAAACGAACAGTCCAAATCAAACGTTTGAAGGATGAGTTCTCTTGAACAAAAAGAAGCCTGCAATACATCAGTAACATACCCAACAGTTTGAGTTGTTCATCTAAAGTGGTTTTGATAATTTTTTTACGTCATTTCTCTTAGTTTCAGGGCATTTTTAAGCATTTTATTGATCATTTTGGCAATGTTTTAGGTCATCAAAATCCGCCACCTAATCACAATTTGAAGCCTCTGCTTGGATAACGGAACCCTCTCTCCCCTGGAGCTGTCAAGTAGACAGAAGTATTATTCTTAGTATAGCTCGTTACCGCTTCCACACTTATCTGATATGTAGAGACCAATAAAGGCAAGGAAAAGTCGTTACGAGTTCATAATTTATTTCCTCGTTCCATTCACAATCTCTAGTCAGGAAAGATGGGGATTGCTCAAGAACATACCTTGAAAAGATAAATTTGGGCTAAATCATTTTATTGAAATCTTATAAACAATCAATATAAATTCAATAAAGTTCATTGGAAACTTTCATATTTTAAAATAAGTAGTAAACCAACAACTATGTTAATGTACTTCTATATTCATTCATAGAAGAGAAGTGTCAAAAAGTAAATTTCAAATGAAGGGTGTCAACAGGTGTGATTTAAGGAGAAAAAGCAAGAGTGCATAACATTTAAGAAACAAACAGAATTCTCCAATACATTCTTGTTTGATACGTACACCTCTCCTCCTGCCCCCCTTTGATCATTTACATCTTTTACGGAATTTACAATATTTTCCTTGCTCTAGTTTTTTCCATAAATAAGCTGATTTTCTTGAAACACTGCAATTCTTGATAACTACGCCTGTAAAATACATTAAAGAAATTTAAATATATTAAATACTAGAGTTGAGACATAAAAGTTCGACTTTAAACCGAAAAATCTACATTTAAAATATAAAACATTTAATCATTCAGGCTAGTTTCTTTGCTATTCAACTGCCTTCAATTAATTTTTTATGTGTTGCAATGTTGTTAAACAATCATTTTACATCACAATCCATGAAGAAGGATACAATATAATAGTATTATCGGCCATGCATATTGATTTTTCCCTGCCTTTAATGACTCGCTCTCTTTAACCAGAACAACTCTCGAAGAAATATGTGTTTGAGCAGGCGGAGGCGGCGGCGGCGGCTGCGGACGCCGAGGCGGCTGAGTTCGAGGCCCGGCAGTGGCTGCGCGGGGCGCTCGTCGACTCGCAGGTATGTCTTGCATCAGATCAATACAACAGATATCATCAACATCAACAACAATCAATCAGCAGATAAATTTAGTGTTTGAGAAAAAGTCCACAAACTCAAAGTACTGGTTGGAGGGGTCAGGGGAAGCGGTTATCTGAATGACACTTGGGTCCAAAAGACCGCGGGTTCTGCGCTAGGTTGCGTCAAAAAACGCATCTGTCCCCCTAGTGGTCGGCAAAGCAACGCGCCTTGAGCCGTACGGGTGGTCAGTGACCTCGGCTGATTTCGAGTATAAGACACACCTGAATTTTGGAGGCAATTTTTCGAAGCAAAATGTGCGTATTATAGTCCGTAAAATACGGTATTGTTGATTATATTTACGAAGTCGCCCCGAAGTAGGTCTGCGGCTATAGAATATTCGTTTACCCATTGTCGCCAGCACTGCAGCACCGACGTCGCATCACGGCCCACGTGGTCCACAATGCGCCGAAAAGCCCTCCTGACTTCGCGCAGGCCGACAATCCGCCGACCCCACTCAAACTAATCGAACTGCATAAAGGACGAACGAGTGCGACGCCGAGGCATACCTACGTCCCGACTAGACCTCATCGCAGTGGACAGCGCCTTTTAAAGCCGAGGAGTAGATGGCGCGTCCGGGCCATTTCGTCACGCAGCCAGCAAAGAGACTTAGGGCATGTGGGCGTCGTAGAACGTCGGGATTAACCTGTTTTTCAACGGATGATGACGCCCAAGGTGACGTCATGGCAGGACGTGACGAAATGAGGCCCGCGACGCGCCATTCTACCTTCCTCGGCCTTTAAACGGCGCTGTCCACTGCGATAAAGTCTAGTCGCGGACGTAGAGTATGCCTCGGCGTCGCACTCAAGTAGTTCGAAAAGAAGACGTCTAGGGATAGTGAGGGTCGTAGACAGTCGGATTAACTCAACGGATGACTGACGGCCCGGTGACACGTCAAATGGACGTG